ATTCATACAATGATCATCCCAATAAATCTCATACCCATCTCATACCCATGACACCATACATAGTTATTAGATTGACTACATTCCCTATACTGTACCTTACATCCCCATGACTATTCTGTAACAACCAATTTGTACTTCTTAATCCCTTCACCTTTTTCACCCAACCCCCTACTTCCCTATCATCTTTATATTTGAATGTCAACATGTCTAGATTATAGTAATTTTCAGCTCATGTTTTCAGCATATAAATAATATCTGCATATGGTAACGATCTCAAACTGTAGAGTAGGCTATAAAGTGAAAAGTAAAAGTTTTCTTATATCTTTTTTCAAAATATATTTTTATTGATTTCAGAGAGGGAGAGGGAGATAGAGACATCAATGATGAGAGAGAACCATCGATCGGCTGCCTCCTGCATGCCTCCCCACTGGAGATCAAGCCAGCATGTGCCTTGACTGGAATCCAACCCGGGATCCTCCAGTCCGCAGGCCAACTCTCTATCCTCTGAGCCAAACCAGCCAGGGCATTTCTTATATTTTTATATGCAATCTAACTCTGCCATTTCCCCCTACCCACCCAGTTGCTAGACTTCAGGATTTAAAATTAAAAATCCATTTTTGCATGAGAATTTGTTGTTGTTGTGCCAAACCAAACATGCACATGGGTTGGATTTGATCAGTTTGTGGATGTTCCAGTAGTTATGAAGACGGACTCTGGAGTCTTGGGTTTGAATCCTGACTACAATCATCCATTCTCAGCCCAAGTTTTCTCATCTACAAAATGGAATTCTACCTCACAGCATTCTTATGAGGATCAAATGAAATGCTGGAAGCACTTAACTCATGAAACTTATAATCCAGCAGAAGAGTCAATAAGAGAATCTCAAATGGGAATTACAGGAAGCTTCGTTGGGACAGTGGCATTTAAACAGAGACCTGGGGGTGAGTAATTAGTTGGGTGGAGAAGTGGAACGGAAGGAGGGGAAGGGCCTAACAGGCAGAGGGAACCGTTCCCAAGCTTTTCTGAAGTAATCGTGCAGGCCAAAGCTAAAACAATGAAGACACAGGGACAATCGTTCGACAGCGTGATTTCCTGACTGATAAACGTGAGCTAGGAGGAGCCTCTCAGTTCAGTCCCCGCACACTTAGTGTTTCACACCGTACTGGCCAGCGCCAGACCCATCGAGTCTTTCGCAGGACCCTTTCCCAGGTAAGAAGGCAGGCAAGAAGGCAGGGAGGTGGAAAGCAGTTCCGTTTGCTTTGGCAGCTGAGGTTAGGAGGATCCCTCCAAAGCTGGCAGGAGAGGAGAGGAGACTGGGCAGTAGGCAGCGCCGACAACCTCAGATTGAAGTAGCACCTCGGTCAAGTGGAGAATGGGCGCCCCCTAGGAGCAGTGCTCGGTAGTGGACCAGACCGAGCGGGGTGCAGGGAGAGAAGGCGGTTCAACTGGGGATAGATAGCCTGCCCGCCAGGAGCGCACTTCCAGCATGATGGACTCCCGGGAGCCCAGAACAACTGGGCTAAGACGGAGCTGGAAACAGGGACCACCACTACGTGCCCCATGGCGGGCCCTGAGCTGGGAACTCTCGTGACCATTGTCTTTATTCTCCTAACTCTGCTTGGAGGTGGGTAGCATTATCCCCATTTTTCAGATGTGAGAACTGAGAGTTGGTGACTTCCGAAGGCGGGGCGGGCGTTTTGCATGACCTCAGAGCCTTCTCCCTGGAACCCTCACGACTTGAAAGATACCGATTCCCTGTGGATGGGAAAACAAGCATCGGATATGAGGTGTACAAGCAGCATGACGGTGATTTTGGCCTGAACCACCCCCCTTGTCGCGACAATACTAATGTGCTTTCCTTTAAGAGCCGCCCCAGAAATACTAAGTGCTCGCTACACTGGGAGGCGGACATGACATGTTCTTGGATTGCCCATCCTTCTTCCTCCCTCGCCGGCACTGATCCCACTAGTGACATAAACCCGCCCCCTCCACTAACGAGGGGAGGCTTGGGACTCCATTTCCCGGCAGAGCACCGAGAAGGGGGTACAGGGAGAGGACAACCCCAGGTTCGCGTTCGCTCGCAGTTCGGCTTGCGTGCGCTAATGCACTTTCCTGCAGCCCCCGACCTTTCTCTGTAGAAGCAAAGGACTACATCCCCCAGCAGGCCTTGCCACAAGGGGAGCGCGGTGAGCCGCCATCTTTCTTGTAGTCCTTTTCCCGGTTTTTGCAGGGAATAGCCTTAGGGCGTGGACTACAAATCCCAGGTCGTTGTCTCCTCTTCCCTTCGGCCGCCATTTCTGCAGACAGTCCCCGCCCCTTTTTATTTCCATTGTCTCGACCGGAGATAATAGAAGAGACGGGAAGACTGCAACTCCCACCAGGCTCTGCGCCACCGGGAGGGGGATTCCGATATTACAGGCGGGCGAGGTGCTCAAGGTGGTAGAGTGAGGCGACGGGAAGAGGCTAGGTAACCTGCCATCTTTATGGTAGTCTCCTTAACCCCCCGTGTCGTCATTCTTAAGGAACACTAGCAACCTAGAAAAACTACTGTTCCCATCGCACCTCATGAGATCGGCTACTAGTCAGGTTGTACGCCCCTCTGCAGCCATCTTGTTTGTAGTCCTCGTTCCTTTTCACCTTTCCATTGTTCCTGAGAAGTAGAAATGGCAGCGGGAAGGCAGCAGACGGACTGCGACTCCCGTCAGGTACCACACACGCGGAGGGTTGTGGACAGGAGGGCGTGTGAGTGCCTGGGAAGGAGGTCGGGTCGGGGAAGAAGGCCATCTTGTTTGTAGTCATCGTTCCCCCTCCATCTGTATGCTCTGCAACGGGGAGCCTCCGGGCAACCGGACTATAACTCCCGGCATCCTCAGCGCTCAGTTTGGCACGCCCTCTGCCATCTTATTTGTAGTCCCTTTAGCCCCAGCGCCCCATTGTTCCCACGGTAGCACCAGGTCCGCAGGACTACGACTCCCGTCGTCCCCTGCGCGTGCTCGTCCTGGCAAGTGGAGCGGTGAGGGAAGGAGGAGGCAGGGGGCGGGGTTCCTCTGGGAGAAGGAGGGAGTAAGGAGGAGGAGGAGGAGGGAAGGAGGAGGGACGGGAGGGGGAAGAGAGGAGGAAGGAGGAAGGAGCTCTGGAGGGATGAGAGAGGCGGCCAGGGCCCCGGGCCGAAGC